TATTATGGTATCATACTTCACATCAAGTCTATTACCAAGTAAAGATATAACATAAGAGTTTTATTTTCACTGAAAATAAAACTCTTATGTTATATCTTTACTTGGTAATAGACTTGATGTGAAGTATGATACCATAAAAAGAACGAGAGAAAAAGACTTTTGTTCAGTGATATATATTTTTTAAAGTCACTAAAGTCACGAAAATTATTTTAAGTCAATTAAGTCATGAAAGCTAAAAAAATCACAGAGTTAGTCGTTTCTCCCTTGCCCAAACACCACCCACATCCACTGTCGAAGCACACTACAACATCATTCTAGAGATTAGGCTTCTTCTTATCTTTCTAAACGAATAGTAAAAATAAAGATTGCATCGTATATGCGAGCGAATGCGAGAAACTGATGAATTCTAATGGAAGATTCCGCTAAAATCCAAACTGCACACGAGAAGAACAAATGATGATGCGCGAACAACAATAGTTTGACTTGCTTGCCTTATTGTTCGCGTTAGTATTGCGTTTTTGCGTTTGGCGCATTATTCGGTTTAATCGTAATTCTGAAGGATAATACATATTTCGACCTGCTGTTCTATTGATCCTCTCGTAGATTGAAGTCAATATAGAAAGAATTTTCATGTACTATTAAAATGGCTCCGTAGTGTTTCACATGTTAGTCCCGTAAAATTGTGCTGCAAGTTTTTTTTTGTTGCTTTAGGCTGTTTATGCGACAAGCAAAATACAATAGAGAAAATAAATGACAATTGATTTTAATTCGCAGTTTTCAATATTAATAGGCAAAAATATAGAAACAAAAAGTTGGTTCATCTTGTAGACAATCGTCCTTTTCTCAATAGTTGTTCTTCTTATCCTCAAACATTGACTTTGGGTTGGCCGCAGCATAACATCAATCGGCTTAACAGAGAAAATGAAAACAGACGACCACTAGATGACTTTATTGCTATTTCTTTATCGTTCCGTTTGTGATTTATGAAGCACGAGGTTTTGCTATAGTTAAATTCACTCGAGACCATTATCAAAGCAAAAAGAATTATTTATTGTGAGACAGAATCGAACGATGATGTGCTTGTTGTTGGTGATGGTGTTTACTCTTGTCTTCAACATTATAACTACAAACGGCTTAACTTGTCCAAACCGACAATCGATAGAAGAGTCTCTTCAGACAGTTCATATTCCTGGCGCTACAATCGTCGTGGTCAATGCCACTCATACACTCTACGAACAAGCTTTCGGTTACCAGTCTTTGTCACCAAAACTGCCTATGGGCGTTGAAAAATCTATTTTTGCTCTTGGTTCGATCTCAAAAACATTCATTGCTATTGCTGTCATGCAACTTATCGAACAAGAACTTGTTGATCTTGATACAGACATTAATCAGTACCTATCGGAACCTCAGAAACGCATCTTCCATCCACAATATCCTCTTCATGCAATTACTCTACATAAATTACTCTCTCACTCGGCTTCGATTAATGTCATTCCTGATGCGCAAAATAGCCATGTTCGACCAGGTGATGATGCATACAATGAATCGTTAGCTGACGCGTGTTTTAAATATGTGAACCAAAACACATCAAACTGGTTGCCAAAACCACCGGGCAGCGTAACATGGTATGCAAATCTTGGTGCAGCATTAGCTGCACTAGTTGTTGAACGAGTAGCAAAAATGCCCTATATCGACTACGTTGAAGAAAGAATTCTGAAACCGTTAGGTATCGATATCAACAAAACTGGCGTACGCCTGACCGACTTTGCAAATACAAAAGATCTTGTCAAGCATTAGGTTTATGCATTCAATACATCTCATCTTGAAGAGTGGAACAAATATATTCCACAAATGGATATCACACAGATTTCGGTAAACCTACCAATATGACTAGTAAGGTTGTTGTCAATTATATTCTCTGTAGAGCAATCTTCCTACGTGACTATACATTCCACACTTTGGCTTCAGTGTTTATCCTTCTGGTCTCTTACGCATGTCGGCTCGTGCCCTATCTGTATACCTTCAGATGTTTCTCAGCGATGGATCTTCAATTCTTCGTCCTCATTCCATTGCCGAAATACGAATAATAGTCGGCGGTGGTCTCATACCACCCTACAACCAAGAATCGACCAGTGATTCTACGGAGAAAAGTCCACCATCACAGTTTGGTCTTAGTTGGTATTGGGATACCCTGAGCGATGGTCGTCGATATATTGGTCACGGCGGTTCGGTTCCAGGTATCGTAAATTTAATGTTCGTCAATGAAAAGTACAATGTGGGAGTAATTGTTCTTTCGAATGGAGATGCCACTAGCGGAATTCATTGGTCGCAAGAGACAGTTAAGACATTGGAAAATATTCATATATTGCTTTTTCAATGTTTCGCACTTTTGGATAGTCTAAATATTGATTCTTCTACAAACATTCCTTTTTACTTTTGTAAAGCATGTATCAATCAATAATCTTGACTATTTAAAAGATAAAACGGTTCTTTGTGCAAGAAGTTGATTTCGTAAAGTATTAAGTAGTTCTGCTATCGTGATCAATTTGAACATAGATGATTTTTTCTCAAAAAGGCTATCAATATATTAGATACAAACGTGAATTTGGGTAGTTTTCATTAAAATTGTGTCTTATTTGAATTGGCATATTAACAAGGATTCGGTTTCGAATGGGTAGAATCTGAAATCAATTTATTCTCGCATGGAATGAATTCGAAAATAATTAGGGATAGATATAATTCAAACATTCTCTAGATTTCACCACACATTCAAACTATCCATCAAAAATCTACAACAATATATTAATAGGAAGGTGTCATTTAACGGTATGCCGAATGAATACTATTTATTACTAACATGATCCTTTCCGTTATTAAAAGATATCATTTACAAGTAGAGCTAAAGAATGTATGGATTATTCTGATTGGACTCCAACATCGTGTCCTCTCTGCAACACTGTTTATGAAAAGGAACATTTATGGACAAAATCTTTCAATCGGTCATTGATTCTATCCATAGAAAGTTGGAAGAAGAAAGATAGTTTAGCTTTGAAAGTTGTATTTTACACATGATAATAAGAATAAGCGACGGATAGTCTTATCTGCTATTAGAGTGCAAACTGAAGCAAGAGAACGAAAAGGGAATAGTGGCAGTAGAGGCTAAACATCAATAATCTTTCTCGATGATGATTGGGTGTCGTTCGGATGATTACATGGAACTGCAACAAGAAAGGAAGATAATGAGAGCGCATACTCATATTGCTTCATTATAACTTTAGAGGAAGACTTGGTGATATATTAGTTCGCAAAAAAGAAAGAGTTGGATATGCCTGTCTTAAAAGCAGCTATTCAACTGGTTTCGCGGAGTTCGATTGTTTCATTTTCAGTTGGAGTTCCAGCGGCCATACTAAATGTGATTATGTTCATGAGCAAGAGAGCACTAGAGGGTGTGGCTGAGTGTGGGGTGAAGTGTGGGACGCGAGGTGTTGGTATGGATGGATGTAGGTCATCTGTTTGGTCACAACAATACCCGCACCCCACATCCGACCATTGACTCAGACCGAAAGACCAACACTCGCCATTTATTAAATAGAATAACATGGATGTGCACTGAAAAATCGGTAGTCTATCGAAAAATTATTTCTACATCGTTCGAGAAGTTATTTTTTGATCCAAAGATCTAATTTGTTGTGGAATTGTAAACAATAGATGACAATAATATTTGATGAAGAAACCGATTGCGCCCAAATATGTTGTGGGAGTATCCACTATTTGCTGATCATTGATAGCTCTCGAATTGGATGAATTTTGTTCAAACTGGTATCGTTGTTCGTTATCGCCACTATATACCCAATTCACGATTTTTGTCATGAAATAATAAAAGATAAATTTGACAATATTAATTCGTTGTAGAAATATTTTAAATTTTGATGGTGGTGGTTTACGGCGATTTTCAGCAAGAAGACGTTCAGCCAATGAAGCCTGTCGATGAGGATCATGTTTTTTTCTCATTCGATCATGATATTGGAATAATATTTGATATTTCGGATTTGTATAGAAATAGGGTACTCCTACCAGAAGTCTCACTAATGCACACAATGTCAAATCAGCAGCTGTGAATTGATTGCCAAATAAATATTCTTTGCCTCGAACATCTTCGGTCAATTCTGTTAATAAATTTTCTGTTTTCTCGTAAATTTGGTCTTCTTTAATACGATGAATACGCAAACGTGCTATTATAATACAACATTTTGCAATGCCTTTAAAATATGATTTCCAACCATCATCCGATTGTTCCTCAATTATCACATTCAATATAGTCGGATTTTCATTGAGGAGTTGTAAGTAACCTAAACGTCTTGCATATAAACCCAACGAAGAATCTAATCTTATACAATAATTGATTAATTGTTGCTTGAAGGCAATTGGAAATAATTGATTTGTTGCATCCGAATAATGTTCATCTAGATAGATCAAAATCTGTGTGGAATCCGAAATAAATTTGTTATTGTTATTCGGATCTTCGATTATCGGTACGAGTTTTTGCATATTCGATGGTGCACGTTCGAGTCCTGGTGTATTACCGAGTACATTAAAAGCAACTGTTGCGTATGGTAAGCGTTTGTACTCGAGTGTCCAACGAACTTTATCAACAAAATGCGAAGATGAAATTTGATACAAAATAATGGGTTGCATAGTTATGGATACAAGTCTGTTTGTGAAGAATAATTTCTTGCAATAGAAAAGAATTATTATACATATTTAACTAAGCAACTTTTGAGATAAACACTTTAAAAATACTATTTTAGTTTATGAGTAGTTCAACTAGGTTTGTACCATTCAATCCACGATTATCTTTATTAGCTGAAACTTATAGTGCTTTATATGCTTGAAAAATTAATAATGTTTTTGATCTCAGCACGATGTGTTAAACCTGGTCCCATATGAATAGAAGACAAATACTGAAACTCTCAAATATATGTCAATCAGTGAGAGCATCAAAAAGAACTAGAAATCGTGTTATTTTGAAAAATTCGATACTTGACAGAAACGGTCTGGTCATTACTAATTCAAGATCATAGTAGCACAACGAGCATAAAAATCCTATCGGATTAAGTAGAGATCTAGGATGAATTTGACATTTTTTTATCATTTCGAACCGTACATCCTTCAATGTAGTTTTCAAAAAATCTCAGAGAAATACCTAAATAAGGTAGATATATCTAAATCAATGTGCTGATGGCTTCTATATAGAAAAAAAGTTGTAAATGAGATACAGCAAAATCTCTCACTATGAACATTTTTCGTTCTATCTCAGGTTCAAACTTATTCTTGCACGCATAGATAAAAAAACGAATTCCAACTCACTGGTATACCTGATTCATTTTTCCTCCTAAGCGGGCATAACATACACAGCTCATCCTTTACAATTACATCTGATTGTTTCTGACCTCGAATTTCAATTGGCCAATCTCTATCCTGGGAGCAGAGTATCGAAATCAAGAAAATTTTAAGACTTTTTTGTGAAGTGAAGTTCGATGTAGAATACAAGGACTAAAGAGATAAGAAACTGATGCTAGGTCTCGTTAATCTGTACTCAAGCAGTACCAACGTCTTTTTACTAATATCACCGCAAACCTTTGGTGTAATGAAAAATGTTCTGACTGCCACAAATTCTGAAAAATTTTCTCGGTTCACTTTTAAGCACACTATGTGTCCTGTTCTTCGTGATGACCAATCTGTGAGGCCTGTGAATAACAAGAAAACGTAAAATATAGTCAATATTGACATAAAGCAGTAAAAAAAACTTTCAATGTATGCATTAGTATCCCATTTTATAATGATCCTTGCTTTCCATCTGATTAAAATTTAGCATCAATTGCCGAGAAGAGTGAGAGAACCTGCTAATCTAAATGAGACACTACATCTAAGAAAACCAAAATCTCTTTCGAACAAACTGACCGGAAATTAGGTCAGAAATGGTCATACACTAATATGCTTGTGCGCATTTACTTTCGACTCACCTTATCACACAGTATCGTTGAAACAGAAAGTGAAAATGTTGGTTGCTATTCGTATGATAGAGAAAGCCCGAAGAGAGTGACTTTCTTTTTCCCCTGTTCTTATCTCGTTCGTTTTGTAGAAAGACAGAGAGATGAATGTATATCCACAATTGCATTTGAGTTACTATTCTTTTTCGATGCTCACACGATAAAGTGTGTACTAAGCTTTGACACCTTAAAAAAAATCAAATATTTAAATTTCGATCAGTGTGGGTGTGGGTATGAGAGAAGGCACTGCCAACATCCACAACCTCTAGCTCAAATGAACTAAGTTTGTTGAAGTATTGGGTTTTATCTGATAGGCAGTAACAATCTGTTAATTAATTTCAACTCATATAAAAAGAACATTCGATTATCATACACAGCTAAAACAAACGAGAATTTACACAGTAGTTACATTTCAATGAATCTCATTCGAACTATCACATACCAATTCATTCATGCATCAAAAAATGAAAGACATTGATGAAATTAAAAAACAAGATTATAAAAGTACTCGCGAATCTTATATTCACTTGAAATACCTCATACCGTTTTCTATGATCGACAAAGAGTGTTAGATAGCACTTTAATCTTGATTTTTATTAGTTTATACTCAGTAGAAGCAATACAAAAATACCTTTCTTTGGAAAGTGCTGCCGTTTTTTTAACAATATTAATTTCATTAGTTCTTTGTTCTTCAACTAAAAACAAAATGACTAAATTTTTTAATATACAAAGTTTCTTAGAATTATTCGTCTAGCTGACAAAGAACCGTATTATTGTAATATCTCTGGTATAATCCTATCTTTCAAGTTCCGTCTTTCATAAAAATGTAGCTGACGTTTTCAAGTACATTTGCAAAAATGTTCATCTTGATTAACCAAATGTTTGAGTTAGTTTTACCTCCAACCTTCTCAATAATATTTAAATCTCTCTATTGAGTATAGCAGTAGTTTGAAACCTTTAAGTTGAATTCAACTATAGAAGGACTATTCAGATATTCCGATATAGTCTCGTATACGTATTTTTATCACATCATCACGTGATGACCAAAAACAGTAGAATTTTATTACTCAGCCGTTCTTTCTGTTAAGCTTCGTAGAAAAGGACAGCTATAAATTTCGAGCATGGAATAGCGAAAGACATTTGTAAAAGATCAAGAAAAAAGAATGAAGCGTCAGCGATCGTAGCCGTTCAACATCATACGAACACGACACAAAAATAACTCTACAGTTTTAATATTTTTATCCTTCTCAGTTCGTCGCACGTTGTATTAGACACTACCTTTCAATTTTTTGCGAATATTGAAGGAAATTATAATTTTATGTCGTTTTATTATATCCAAGAAATTCGAAAAAAAAGAGGAAGTTCCATGTATAGTAAATTCTATTTCAAATTTTCAACACTTATTTTTTCTTTTTATTTCTATAAAGTACGGCAAAAATATTTTGTGATAGAACAATTAAAAACAATCATATAAACTTTTGAGATCACCGATTACTATAATAAAGCTACTCTTGTGTTAAACAGAGCTTTTTATATTTAAATCGTCAATCGAAAGGATGATATTCATTTTAAATTCTTCAATGGATCCCACCATATGAATCTTCTATTAAATTCTTCAAGAACTCTTTTCACCGTCTTGTACAATTGCATATTCGAATCATGATGATAGTCTGAAAGAGCTTTTGCATACTTTGGAATATGTTGTGCCCAATCACGAAGAGCTTCAAGCTCTAGTTTATCCTTAAAGACTCCATAGCCTAGCTTTTGTAAATACCATGCGTTAAGTACTTGCTCATACTGATTCTCGACTGGTACACTGAAAAATGGTCGTTGTAAGCTTACTGCTTCGTTCATAAGCGAAAGTCCACCATTGGCAATGACACCTTTGGCACGTGCCAAATCATCCACAAAACCTTGCTCAGAAAAACCTTTGAATTCCAGATTACCGATTTTTTCTTCTCGACCAAGTCCGTAAATGATACATTTTTCGCCAAAAGCTTGTAAAATAGAGATAAGAGATGTGTCACTTTTGCTACTTTGATAAACAAGAAAATGTTCACCCTGTTCAGCTGGTAATGGTTTTGCATCAAGAATAGCCTGACGAAGAATTGGTGGAACAAGAACGGTTATAGATTTGTATTTATCACGAATGTCAGGAGTAAAAAACCCAGTAATGATGTATTGATCACAATATGGAAGTTTGACTTTGACAAAGCCTTTATATGTATTGTATGCTGTTGGATTAGATTTTCGAGCTTCGTCTGGAATTAAGCATCGCTGCACAACGTGTTGATTGTCGATCGAAAGAATGGGAAGTCCATGTGACTTAGCAAAAATGTAAGCGAAACTGTCAAAATCACTAATAACAGCTTGAGGTTTCCAAAAAACAAGATTTTGATAATATGCACCCATATTTTTCTGAAGCATATTTGGCATACGTTGCATGGTGTGTAATAGTGAAGCTTTCTCATCAAATACATTATTAACATATTGCATTGTTAAACCTTCGATTTCGACTATATCTATTGCTGCTTCATCTTCTCTTGCTGTGGCACAACGTGGAAATCGATTTGAAAAATTTTCATGAAGAAATTTATATGCACGATTACTTACTACCGCTTTAACATGATGTTTTTCCATCATAAGCATTTCAAGAACGACTTTAGATCGTGTTGCATGACCCATTCCCTCGCCCACTACGCCATAAAGAATACGCATTGTTTTAGATTTTGAAGGCTGAACAAAAGGCAATAATGCTAAATGAACAATACGATTAGCTTCGTCTTGTATGGTTTGAACATTCTTATCATCACCAATTGTAACAGAATTAATTTTGATATTTGAATTACTAAATTGTTTATTAAAATGATCGATAAATTGATGTAAAGCAATTTTTGATGAATAATCCTGAAATAATCCAGTTAATGATTTGAATCTAGAATTTTGATCATTCATTTTACCATAGACATTAATTATACAACTGGAAGGAGATTTTTGAAGCAACGGTGTAAATACTTGTGATACATTCAATGTATCAAAAAATTCTTTTGCTTCAAATCCTTCACGTGACATAATATTTATTTTAAATTGACCATTATCAAGTAAGATTCCAACATTAATTAATATATCTAATTTTCCGAATTGTTCATCAATTTGTCCAACTATTTTGTCAATTGTTTTAAGATCAATAGTATCAAATACAATAAATTTAGGTTCGATATCTTCATCGTTCAATGTCTTGATTACTCGTTCAAGTTTATTTCCATTGTTCGCACAAAATAAAACACATATACCTTTTTTTCCTAATTGATAAGCTATTTCATCTTCTAATTCATGACCTGTACCGATAATTAAAGCAGCAATCAATGACATTTCAACAATCTAGTGATCTAAAATTAGACCATACTAACTTACATTTGTACTCTTGTTCTATACGTTAACAAACTAATGTTTCTGTTTCTCATTATATATGCACAAAAAGATAGTAGTCTGCGAAAAAAAAAATCTTACAAACAAAGACTGATAAATGTCTTCCATACACAAAACTTATGCTTCTTAAATGCATAACAGTATGCAATCGATATGAAATTACTATAACACAATCCATCATCACGATCGTGGTAGCGATTCTATTATTAGTCAAAAATGAGCCAAATAAAAAAAACACGATAGAGGAGATACATTGACGGAGGTAACAACACCTCATATATCCAATATTCATCATCGCTTTATTTCTTGAGTCTTCTCACGCCTGTTACAGCATTTAGAAACCAAGGGCCTATTCATTGAACAAACATACCCCAGAATAACTCTCTTTTGCTTGCGATGATATAAAAAAACAATGAATCTAGTCATCTTCTACTCATATGTACATCCGTTCCATAACAGTTACAACAGCCACCCTTATTCCCTTTTTGATCATCAATTAATCGATCAATGCAACGCGTTATGACAACTGCATCATTAAATACATTCCCCAACTGCGAGAGAACAGTGGTTACCAGAAGTCTGAAAAAAACTAAAACAAACACAGCAAAATATCATAGGGCGGCAACGAAAAAAATCTATACAGCCCTTCGCCTAGACGCAAAACACGAACAAATAAATGTCGAATTTATGCGGTCATCGAATCTGCATTGAACTCTCCGGGCAAACGATTGATGATGCTCAAAAAGTGGAAATACTCCTTCAAAATTCTCCGAGAACCTCGAAGATCCATTTAGAACTGTTGTACCTTCATTTACCGAGAAAGAATGAGCTCTGCATCGGATAGCCTCAACTTCAAACTTCACGTTCTTTTTGATGGCTGACTCGACGTGAGTTTGTCCAAGCATTCTATTTTCGATCAGAGCTGTGTAAAATTATAATGGCTATTCTTTAGAACACTAGCCCACCTGTTTAGACGCATCACTCTTTCTTACCATCTAATTGCAAGTAGAAAACGAAATAAAATAGCTTCTGTTTCACCTGCGTACATTATCTTATAAAGCGACGATGATAAAGACACTAATTCATTCACCAGAGCTGCAAGAGACTACTGTTATATACTCCTCTCTAATACTGCAAATAGAGAAAAGAGAGAGATAACCTTCCACTCACAGAAACGGACTGTTATCATTGCAAGGACAAACAATACAGCAGTCGTGCAATTTCGATACGTTAATATTGGTGAAATAATCTCTACTGCATAAAGACAATTTTACATTTGCAATTCGTGTTTTCTTCATGCTGATACGAGAAAAACAGAAAAAAATGGAATGAAGTAAAAACATTTTCATACGCAAATCAACTCTTTCTGCGACGAAAGTGGATGTGGCTATACGTTTATTTTATCTTAACCTACACCCATACCCACACGTTACGATGAAGATTATCAACCACAAGAAAACGAGGATATACGTGATTTCGATTCAGCGCTCTCTGATTCTCAAATTTATGAACTTCTTGATAATGCTATATATGTTCTTGATGAAATATTATCCCAACCGCAGTCAAATGAATGGCATCGAGCATCATTTCTTTTGTTATATAATCGGATCAAACTAACATACATAAATACCTCATAAGAAGCTTCACTGGCTAATCAAGCGCAAGACATATCTCCTTTATTATCTGCTAATTCATTTGTTTTTTCTTATTCGTTACACAATTTAATTTACTGCTTTTGCTTTGACTACTATCTGAACTGTTATGCAAGTACCAACCGATTGGGTATATCTAATAAACCTACATATCTTTTTCATTATAGTCATTTACTTTAATGTAATGTTCCACTATTCATTCAAAAGATAAAAAGAATATATAATAAGTATATAAGCAATAACTAACCAGACATTGTGAGTATGGGCGTGGTTAACGAGAGTGCCAACACCCACGACCACACTCACACCCATATCTGCACCTACACCTACATCGACACCCACACCCATCCCACACCGTAGACCCTCCCCTTTACCCACTCCACCTCCACACTCACACCCAAGCCGACTCTGCCCGCACTCCATCCATCCGACCACACACTAGACTATGGGTTGCCATCTTTTCCATCCAACTTTTTAATAGAAGAAACAAAAATAACACTGCATGAGTTTTTATTTTGTTGTCGAAAAAAGTTTCAACTGGTTCCGATCCCAACCAATTCAGATTATTTCGAATTAGTCACAATCGCTCTTGTAGTGCTTTTCTCGGCCGATATTGATACACGACGTGTATCACGATGGCTACTATACTCATAATGAGAAACGTGATGAAGAGTCCTGCAAGCACCTCTATATTGATGGCTGTCCCATGGTCATCTGCTGCAGTTCTTTCATTTTTGCACGTCGTGGGTCGAAACCATTTGGTCTCTAGACTAGCAATCTTGCCTGCTTCGTGAAGTGACAGTAAAAGCCTATCCAGCTCCGTTTTATATAGCCAGCCCTTAGGCATGGCAATGCCGTAGGGCGAACGCATAAAACCAAGTCCAACGGCTGTGAGCTTTCCGCAGTGATACCGGTTGATGCCATATTCCAGCGGCGTAGAGTCATACAAGCCAGCATCAATCCTCTTATCTAGGAGAAGGTCAAAAAGTTCGTACAGAGAATTGACGGGATAGTACTGAGAAGAGATATTCTGAACGTAGAAGTCGGCATAAGATGAGTTGTGCACGATGCCGATCTTGCCGTAAGGTACGTATCCATTTTTGATATCGTCGATGCCAGCTATAGACGGCGGATTCCATTTAAGGGTGAGGAATGCTGAGAGATTGGCGGTATAAGTAGCCAGAAGAACGAAATAGACCATGGCTACTGCAAGGCCGAGCACGCGAGTAGCCCCAGTAACCGTAGAGGAGTCGCGGTCCATCCCTATGGAGGTGCTCAGCGCGCGGAAGACGCTCATGCCAAAAGCCCAGTGCCACGGTTCACGTTTCAAAGTAGCGTTGTTTTCTCGCTCGAATACATACATGAGCGTACCCGCATAGAGCACGACACCCAAGATCGTCAGCCAGACGGTCCAAGAGACGGGACGCAAGTATGAGAACAGATCGAATGCTGATGCCATGGCACTGTGGCGCACGACAATTCGGATGCTAGTCTCGTGAAATGGAGTCGAGAACTCTACCAGGTGAAGACGACTCGACAGAATGGTCAAGTCGGCAATACCAATATCATATAAACCATCCCGGACGCCTTCCACTAGTCCGTTGTAGCCTATCTCGGGAGGAATAAGGTATGCACGCAGCTCGAAGTTCATCCTTTCTTGGAGAAGGCGAACCATTTCAGGGAGAAAGCCCGTTAACAAATGACGGCGATTGTCGGTCAAAATAGCATTTGGGGAATCAGTGATGGTGTTATTGGTAACAATAACAAACGGAGGTATTTCAAGGAAGCCAATCTTCAGTATTTCACCTATGAAGGATAAGCTATTCGATGTAATTTATATTAAGCATATTGGTTTTTACAACTCAATTAACTTTGTTTTATGAGAAGAGCAATACAATGAGAGAAGTTTTATATCTCATCCTTCTGAAGAAGAAACAGTTCCAACTGATTAGGAGAGAGTCCATGAGATAACAAAGCATCCTGTCAGAAGAGCATATCATGATTAAAGCTTAAATA